ATTTTTGCATCTATGTTCATCATGGATATTGGCCTGAAGCTTTCTTTGTTTGTTGAGTCTCTGCTGGGTTTTGGTCTGAGGATGATGTTGGTATCATAAAATGACTTGGGAAGGATTCCCTCTGTGGTTTTTTTTTTTTTTTTTTTGTGTTTTTTCGTTTTTTTGTTTTTTTTTTTTGAGACAGAGTCTTGCTGTGTTACTAGACGCCAGGCTGGAGTACAGTGGTGCAATCTTGGCTCACTGCAACCTCCATCTCCTAGGTTCAAGCAATTATCCTGCCTCAGCTTCCCAAGTAGCTGGGACTACAGGTGCGTGCCACAACGCCCAGCTAATTTTTGTATTTTTTAGTAGAGATGGAGTTTCACCATGTTGACCAGGATGGTCTCGATCTCTTGACCTTGTGATCCGCCTGCTGTAGCCTCTCAAAGTGCTGGGATTACAGGCATGAGCCACTGCACCTGGCCAGGATTCCCTCTTTTTGGATCGTTTTGCATAATTTCAGAAAGAGTGGTACCAGCTCCTCTTTGCGTGTCCGGTAGAATTAGGCTGTGAACCCCTCTAGACCTGGACTTCTTTTGGTTGGTAGGCTATTAATTGCTGCCTCAACTTCAGCCCTTGTATTGGTCTATTCAGGGTTTCAACTTCTTCCTGGTTTAGGCTTTGGAGGTGCAAGTGTCCAGGAATTTATCCATTTCTTCCAGGTTTACTGGTTTATGTGCATAGAGTTATTTGTAGTAATCTCTGATGGTAGTTTGTATTTCTGTGGAATCTGTGGTGATATCCCCTTTATTGTTGTTTATTGCATCTATTTGATTATTCTCTCTTTTCTTTTTTATTAATCTGGCTAGTGGTCTATTTTATTGATCTTTTCAAAAAAACATCTCCTGGATTTATTGATTTTTTGAAGGATTTTTTTTGTGTCTCTACGTAAGTTCTGCTCTGATCTTAGTTATTTATTGTCTTCTGCTAGCTTTTGAGTTTTTAAAATCTTCCTTCTCTAGCTCTCAATTTTGACAATAGGGTGTCGATTTTAGATCTTTCCTTGATTCTCATATGTTCATTTATTGCTATAAATTTCCCTCTAAACACTGCTTTAAATATGTCCCAGAGATTCTGGTATATTGTGTATTCATTTTCATTGGTTTCAAAGAACATATTTATTTCTGCCTTCATTTCATTGTTTATCCAGTGAACATTCAAGAGCCAGCTCAGTTTCCATGAACTTCTGCAGTTCTGAGTTAGTTTCTTAATCCTGTGTTCTAATTTGATTGTGCTGTCGTCTGAGCGACTGTTTGTTATGATTTCTGTTCTTTTGCATGTGCTGAGGAGTGATTTACTTCCAATTATGTGGTCAGTATTAGAGTAAGTGTCATGAGGTGCTGAGAAGAATGTATAGTCTGTGGATTTGGGGTGGAGAGTTCTGTAGATGTCTATTAGGTTTGCTTGGTCCAGATCTGAGTTCAAGCCCTGGATATCCTTGTAAATTTTCTTTCTCGTTGATCTGTCTAATATGGACAGTGGAGTGTTAAAGTCTCCCACTATTATTGTGTGGGAGTCTAAGTCTCTTTGTAGGTCATTAAGAACTTGCTTTATGTATCTGAGTGCTCCTGTATTGGGTGCATATATATTTAGGATCGTTAGCTCTTCTTGTTGCATTGATCCTTTTACCATTATGTAATGTCCTTCTTTGTCTCTTTTGATTTTTGTTGGTTTAAAGTCTATTTTATCAGAGACTAGGATTGCAAATCCTGCTTTTTTTTTGCTCTCCTTTTGCTTAATAAATCTTCCTCCATCCCTTTATTTTGAGTCTATGTGTGTCTCTGCACATGAGATGGGTTTCCTAGATACAGCACACCAATGG